CGTGTCGCGCATGAATTCGTGTCCAATTCGAGTCGGACACGGATTCGTGGCCTCCGGGGGTGAATCCATACTTCAGAGTCTGTCACTGTCATATAGTCTGCCTCTGTGGTAAACAAAGCAACTATCGACTGTAGAGTCACCTTCTAACTAATGGCATCACCTGAAAGAGTGAATATATAATTTGTCAAGGATCGTTTCTTATCCAAATCACCCACATAATTTAAATTAGAATAGCCAAGTATTCTGTAATCTGAGTTTGTGTTCCTGCTAAAATACAAACCAATATTAGTTTATCCTCTCAAATATCTGAGTACTCATTTCACAGCCTGCCAATGGACCTTTCCAGGCTTATCCATATACCGACTCACAACACTGACTATATGTGAAATATCTGGACGGGTGCAGACCATAGCATACATAATGCTTTTAACTGCACTTGCATGCATAAGGAATACAATACATGTACTGCTTCTCCTCAGTCTGAGGTGACAAATCTGCTGAAAGATTAAAATGAGCAGCAAGCAGAGTTTTCACAAGCTTAGCATCAAGCATGTCAAATCTCTCAAACACCTTCTTGATGTATTTCTCCTGAGATAGGAATAAACTTCTTTCTCGTTTGTTCCTGTAGATCTTCATCCCCAAAATCTTCTTTGTTGCTCTCAAGTTCTTCATCTTAAACTCATGTCATGTTTGAGTTAAGATTTTAACTCGTTGATTTCTGACATATCTTTAGCTGCAATCAACATGTCATCAACATACAGAAGCATATATATGAAAGAACCATCATTAAGCTTTTTATGATAAACGCAACTATCATATTTACTCCTGGAGTAACCATGCTCAAACATGAAAGTATTAAATCTCAAATACCACTGTCTTGGAGACTGTTTCAAACTATAAAAAGATTTTTTTTAACATGCATCCATGATCTTCTTTTCCTTCAACAATGAACCTCTCTGGCTAATGCATAAAGATCTGCTCCTCAAACTCGTCATGTAGAAAAGTCGTCTTTACATCAAGTTGTTTAAGCTCCAAATTAAAATGAGCAACCATGGCAAGCAGCATGCGAATTGATGCTTATTTTACAACTAGAGAGAATACTTCATTAAAGTCTACACCTTATGTCTGACTGTAACCTTTAGCTACCAAGCGTGTCTTGTACCTTACAGAATCTGTATTTGGAGTTCGTCCTTTCTTTTTGAATACCCATTTACAGCCAGTAATTTTCTATCCCCTTGGTGACTTTACTAACTCTCATGTCTGGTTCTTGTGAAGAGACTTTATTTCTTCAGTTATCGCAACAGTCTAATTTGCAGCTTCATTGCCACTAATAGCCTCCTTATAAGTAGAAGGCTCTGGAATCTCAATCGATTCTGCTATACTTAAAACGAAAGCAAGCATGTCTACATAGCGTTGAGGAGATTGGATCTGCCTTTTTATTCTCCCGATGGTAATATTATATTATTGCTCTTGCAGTGTGTCAGCATCTAAGGTTGAACCTTCCGCAGTATCAACTGGTTCAACATAAGCGTCCTCAAGCATTCTCTTTGAAGCTGAGTTCTCTAGCTTCACCTGCTTACTAGACTCATTTTCAGTACCTGTGGTATCAATAACAAAATCCTTTCTCAGGTGAAGCATGGATTTCTCATCAAAAGTAACATCCCTACTAATAATAAACTTAGGTGATTTGGTATCAGAATACCATAATCTATATCCCTTCACCCCAGTAATATATATTAGAAAGATAGCTTTCTTTGTTCTAGGTTCAAGTTTACTATCATTAACATGAAAATAAGCAAAGCAACCAAATACTCTTAAATGAGAGTAATCAGCAGGGGCATACCTCTTCTGGAGTCTTAAAATCAATTATTGTAGAAGGAAATCTGTTTATCAAATAGCAAGCTGTATTGACTGCCTCGGTCCAAAAGTCTTTTGACAAACCGACATTAGAGAGCATGCACTGAGCTCTCTCTAAAAGTATTCTGTTCATCCTTTTTGTAACTTTATTTTGCTGTGGCGTATGCTAAATTGTACGGTGATAGACAATACCCTCATTCTTGCAGTATTGATCAAACTTTGCAAAACAAAACTTCATCCCATTGTCGGTTCTGAGGAGCTTCACTTTCTTTCTTGTTTGCTTCTTAATCATAACCTTCCATTGTTTGAAGGTTATGAACACATCACTTTTATGTTTTAAATGATAAACCTAAACTTTTCTGAAATAATCATCAATTAATGTTAGCAGAAAATAAGCTCCACCTTTCGATGGAACCTGAGAGGGATCCCAAATATCTGAATAGATATAATCTAAAGTACCCTTAGTTCTGTGAACACCGGTACTAAAGGAGACTCTAGGGTGTTTGTCAAAAACACAATGCTCACAAAAGTCTAGTTTGCTAGTTTTCTGACCACAAAACAGACCTTGTTTGCTCAACATATTCAGTCCTCTCTCACTCATATGCCCTAACCATATATGCCACAAACGTGTAGTATCTAAATCTGAATCCTCTGAGGATGACATTGCTGCAGCACCTGTCACTGTACTGTCTTTAAGGATATATATGATATTTACCTTCTTTCCTTTCATCACAATAAGAGAGCCTTTACTAACCTCTCAAAACTCCACCTTCAAGCGAAAACTTAAAACCATTTGTGATGTGAAACAATGTATATGCAGGTGTAAGATCAGCGATAACAATGCTTCACCAAATCAGCGATCGATCTAAGCAGGAAACTCAAGAATAAAATGAAGCGACCGATGGTTTTTAAGCAAAAACTACAATGTACTAAGTTTGAATCTTTGTAAAATTATTCAGATAAGTAATGTAATGATTTGTTCTTTTAATACAGTTCAACTCGTAATATTAGATCAGCAGATATACTCAGTAACAGAATCGCTCACTCACTAATCAAACGGAATACAGCACAATCGCATTTGATATTAAAATTAATAACAGCATGCACGTAATAGTGGTTCCGAAAATATTAGGTTGATAGAGAAATAAACTTTCGTCGGGCTGAACTGGTTCGACGTGATGGATCTCTGGAGGCGGTGTAATAACCTCGAATCTGAGTGGCGGGAGTTCTCCTCCGAGAGCTACGTAATTGGGATGAAGCGGCGTGTCTGGATGAAAACGTCGGTGCCAAGAACTAATTCCCAAACGGCTCTCCATACTGTCTACAATCGGATGAGTCACGCATTCGACGTATTCAGGAACACTCTCGAACGTCTGGTAATCGAACCACGGGGAAAGTTGCAAATCAACAATACCAGTCTCTGGATCAAGCACGAGATCGTTGTCTTCAGCGTCAGGATCAGCCATACACCAGCGGACTGCGGAATCAAAATTCAAAACAATGTAGATTGGGTCTGAATCAGGGTCTGGTCCAACTGAACCGATTGAGTCTGAACTAAAATAGACCACCTAATGAAATAAAGTGGTATGAACAAGTAGACCAGATCCAAATATAAAGGGGTCGGGTCTGTTCAAAGCCCAAACCCAAAAATTCGGCTCGACTGCGATCTGAGGAGAAGCGCACGACGTCGAGCGGCGGCAGCCTTCGGTGGCTGAGGATGAGAACAACGGCGATCTTCGTCAATTAGGGCGACGACGGGGTAGATTTGGGACGCGGTAGAGGGCGGGGCGCTGTCGGAGGTGGAGGAGGTGGGGAAACTCGACGGTGGTTGTCGAGCGGCGGAGGCTGAAGGCGGCGATTAGGGTTTCGGGGCTCAGATGGAGATACAGGCGGAGCTTCGACTGCTTTTCAGAGGGAGGACGAACAAGGCTTCGACAGATGTAGAGGGTGGGGTTTTCGGTGGCGGTTTCGGTATGACTGAGGATGGCGACGAACTACTCGGAGGTAGAGGGGGTGGACAAAGACGGCGGCTAGGGTTTCACACCTCTAGGTCGTGCGGTTTTACACCAGATTCAGGTAACGCAAACTATTCTTTTTTATTTCAATCTTCAATAATCTTAATTCTGATTACAACAATGTTTATATAGAGAATATTACAGATTTTGAAATCTCAATCAAATCTCTCTCAACCTCATCCAATAACAAACTAAATAAATAACTAACAATAATTCAAATCTGAAATCAACTACTAACTGAAAAATAAAAAAAATCTAAATATCAGAACTATATCCCTGCGATCTGACGCACGGCTGAAATACGACGTCTCCTACGTTGATAAACACGACGAAAGTCACGTGCACGTGCTTGGATGTCCTCATCAATTTGAGTCAAGGGTGCCTAATAAAATGATGTTCTTCTTTAACTCTGGTATATGTCGGTTATTGCTTAGTGTTCTAACAATACCATCATGGTTCTAATCTTAATTGATCCGATACCAACAGTCATGCAAGGCATGTTATTTCCCAATAAGACATTCCTAACATCGATAGACTGATATGTGACAAACCAATCCATATGCGGACACATATGGTAGGAACAACCCGAATCAAGAACTCACTCATCTTGTGAATAAGTATTAACATTGACTGAAAGAACTTCATGTGTACTAGAAGACTCTTCAGTTACAGTGACAACTGAAGGTTTCACCTCCCCAGACTTCGATTGCGAACTATCCTTTGCTTTGAGCGTTGGACAATTAGGTTTTATATGCCTATACTTGTAACAGTAATAACATTCAATATTTTTTCTTGGCCTAGACTTTGATCTAGACATATTTCTAGATTTGCCTCTACCACTAACACCCTTTTCAGGACGATCACGAACGAATAAGCTTTCAGCTTGATCCTCTCCTCTTACAACAGACACTTTTTGTCTTAACTTTTTTAAATGTAAGGCTGATTTGACATCCTCTAAAGAAAATGTATCTCTATCGTATAACATGTTATTGACAAAATTTTCATAGGATGGATGTAATGAACATAACAAGATAAGGGTTTGATCTTCTTCATCGATTGTAACATCAATATTCTTTAAATCCATAAGAATAGTATTAAGTTTATCTAAGTGGTATTTAATTCGCATACCTTTATTCATGCGAAGGGTGAAGAGGAGTTGCTTCAAGTAGAGCTTGTTCGTTAAAAATTTCGTCATGTACAAGCTCTCCAACTTGAGCCACAAGTCGGCGGTGGTATCTTCATTGGCAACCTCCTGCAGGACCTCATCGGCCAAACATAGTTGTATGGCACTATGCGCCTTCATCTCTAGCTCTTCTTTCTCATCATCGGGTATAGATTTTGGTAACTTATCTTTTCCGGACAAGACCTTGAACAGTCCTTGTTGTACTAGGCAAGTCTTATTTTCACTCTCCATTAACTGAAGCTGTTTCTCCCATCGAATTTCTCCACTTTGTATTTTGCAGAAGACATCTTAAAGCCCACTAGAACAGTAACTGTAGTTATGAACAGTAACCGTATGTATGAATAGTGATAGTGCTTATGAATAGTACAGTATTCGTGAATAGTATTCAGTGCATTTAAAGAGTAAATGGTAATCTATTTATTTTCCGATGTGGAGAATCCATTTTTAATGGCAGTTACAGAACATACGATAAGCAAATATACATACTCTAAGCCAAGCTCTAATACCAATTGGCGAGACAGGAAGAGAAAAGAGAAGATCTTCATATTCAAGTCAATGTGGAGATTTGTAAGAGTAACTTAAATAAAGTCAAGGGTGGCTGCCTAATCTTGTGACATTTTTTTTAATCTTTGCAACTCCAGCTCCTGTTCTCCCTACCATGTTTAATTTTTTATTAATTTTTAAAAGATATAAAAGGGGAAGGTGAGGGTAAATGAAGATAAAGCATCGAGACAGAGAGGAGTTAAAGAGAAGAGAGAGATAGAATAAGAAATCTCTTTCTTTGCGTGATTCTTTGGTTAGAGAGTGATCTCCTCTTTGTAATCTTTTTTTTTGTGATTAGTGAAGTTCTCTATTGTTCTCGCCTGTGGACGTAGGTCATACTGACCGAACCACGTTAAATCCTTATGTGTTGTTTTCTTTGTCTTCACTGTGTTTATTCAGTGTGTGAACGTGCGTGTGCCAGCTGGCATCTCAAATCACGTGTGTGCATGAAACCAAACCCAAGCAGCGGCCAGCGGGTATTCTTAACCGGCCCAACATCGCTTCTTATAAATACACATGTTTACCTAGGGTTTTGTGATGTGGGTGAAAAATTATAGTGGGAACAGCGGCAGGGAATAAAAGGCTACGGGAAAAGGACTGCGGAAAAGTAGAGAGGTTGAAAAGTTTTTTTTTCTTTCCGGCTGTAAGGTGAAACAGATGGTAGGCTGGTTTCTTGAGGAGTTTTCAAGAGTCTAGAAAAGAAAGATCTTTAAGGAGAGAAAAAGAGAGATTCTACAAAAGAGAGGTCAATTTAGAGAGATTCTACAAAAGAGAGGTCAATTTCTTTTGGGTAAAAATTAGATCTTTTTTTTTCTTTGAGACGAGCTTGTGGATTGTACAAGTCGTCGGTGTTCTCCTTATAGTAAAATCTCCCCTCACCCCTCCCGTGGACGTAGGCAAGTTTGCCGAACCACGTAAATCTCGTGTATTTACTGTTTTCTGGGTGTTGGCTATAGCTTGTAGGTTCCCTTAATATTCGGTCTTAGAGCTGATGAGAGGAAGAGTGTATATTTCACTTTGATGAAATATATCACTTTCGGTTCTTGTTTCCTTTAAGAAATAAGAATTTCACTATCTATTCTCGTTTCCTTTGAGAAACAAGAATATAGAGGTTGACTTGTGCTTTTGTGACAACAAAAGCCAGGGCTTTCTCTCAGGTGATATCGCTTCCGCGACGGTGGGCGTGACTCTGCGCCCAACAATTGGTATCAGAGCTGTTATTCATATTGGGAGTGGTGTAGCTTCTGATTTGAGGTGGTGCTCGGTAATTTCCTGAGAGAAGCGGATTCATTAATACAAGCGGAAAATGGCGTTAACAAGTAAAACAGTTAAAGTGGGAAAATACAAGTTTGAAAAATTCAATGGGAAGAATGATTTTTCCTATTGGAGGATGCAGATGAAGAACACGTTGATTTCGCAGAAATTGCACAAAGCTTTGGCAGAAAAAGAGAAGAAGCACAAGGATATGTCTGATGAGGATTGGGAGGAGCTGGATCTGGAAGCACGGGCGTCGATTATCCTTTGCCTTGAAAGAGATGTAGCTTTCTTGGTAGATGAAGAGGAAACGGCTGCGGACGTGTGGTCGAAATTAGAAAGCACCTTCATGACGAAGAGTCTAACAAACCGGATCTATTTGAAATCCAAATTGTATACTTGCAAGATGGAGGAGGGCTCATCAATCCGGGAATATATCAACAAGTTCGATAGGATTATATCGGATCTGAAGGACATCGATGTGACTGTAGAAGATGAGGATCAAGCGCTTCTACTACTTCTATCTCTGCCGAAGTCTTATGAGAACCTGGTGCAAACATTGATGCTTGTGGGAGACAATTTGACGATGGATGAGACTAGAACGGCGCTTCTAGCGGATGACCTTCGGAAGATTGCAACCAGTGACATGATTACTGGTGGTAACAAAGAACAATCCCAGGGATTGTTTGCTAGAGGAAGGAGCAATGAGCGAGGAAAAGGCAAGGGAGGAAAGTCTAGATCTAAATCGAGACCTCTTGCGGGAAGAGCGTGCTTCAAATGCGGTGAAGTAGGGCATTTCAAGGTTGACTGTCCTAACAAGAGAGTAGGTGGGAAAAAGAACAACAAGACCGAGAGAAGAGAAGGCAAGGAAGAGACGAGTTACGCATCGGAGGAAGGGAGCGAGAAAGAATGCTATGCTGTTACGGGTGACAAAGATATCTCCGGTAAGTGGATACTTGATTCGGGCTGCTCTTACCACATGTGCCCAAATAGGAAGTGGTTTAGATGGTGGAACCGTATTGATGGGGAACAACCATGCTTGTAAAACGGTGGGGCTAGGTGATATCAAAATCAAGATGCATGATGGAGTGGTTCGAACTCTAACGGACGTGCGGCACGTTCCCGCCTTGCGGAAGAATCTTATCTCCGTGGGTGCATTGGACTCCGGTGGCTGCAAGATTGTTACAGAGAACGGAGTGAAGAAGGTTGTTCGAGGTTCCCTAACAGTGATGAAGGGTGTTCGTCACGGTATTCTATATACTCTCTCGGGTATGACGGTGACAGGAGATGCAGCGGTTGGAACTGAAGGAAGTGGTGGAGACCCATGTGAGCACACCCGGTTATGACATAGGCGGCTTGGGCACATGTCAGAGAAGGATCTGGTTCTGCTTGGTAAGGAGGGTTTGCTAAAGAATCTGAAGAAACCTTGCATGGATTTTTGCGAGGATTGTGTGTACGGAAAGACGCACAGGGTCCAATTCTTGAAAAACAATCACAAGAGCAGAGGTATACTAGATTATGTGCACACGGATGTTTGGGGTCCGGCTCAGACAACTTCCAAGGGTGGTTCCAGGTATTTTGTCTCGTTCATAGACGATTATTCTAGGTATGCTTGGATTTATTTTTTTAAGCATAAGAATGATGTATTCGAGACATTCAAGAAGTGGAAAGCAATGGTTGAGAACAGGACGGGCAAGAAATTGAAGACACTGAAATCTGACAATGGTACAGAGTATACAGATGGTGCTTTCAAGAAGTTCTGTGATCAAAAGGGCATTGTTCGACACTGGACAGTCAGGTCAACACCACAGCAGAACGAGGTCGCGGAGAGACTGAACCGAACATTGCGGGAGAAGGCAATGAGTATGCGATCTTATGCTGGATTGGACAACGAATGGTGGGCAGAAGCGGTGGCTACAGCATGTTACATTATGAACTGTTCTCCACATTCGACATTGGATGGTGATACACCCTATAGATGTGGTCAGGGGAACATGCGAATTATGAGAGGCTCAGAATTTTCGGATGTACCGCCTATTATCACGTCAACGAGGGAAAGCTTGACGCGAGGACCAAGAAGGCGATATTTTTGGGGTATGCAAAGGGCGTAAAAGGCTATCGCCTTTGGTGTACAGAAGATTTGAAGTTCGTGATCAGCAGGGACGTTACCTTTGATGAAAAATCCATGATTGCTAGGGCGCCCAAGGATGATGGTGTTGGGACTGTTGGGACTTCAAAGTCCCAGGTTATTGAGATAGAACCGTAAGACCAACCAGGTTCTAGTCATGTTCAAGTGGAAAATCAGGTAGATGATGAGCTTGAGCAAGAGGAGGTTCAGCAGGAGAATACACAGGTACTGCAACAACAGCAGCTCGAGGATACTTTGGCTTCCACTAGGCCAAAGCGAGTATACAAAGGAGAATACACAGGCACTACAACAACAGCAGCTCGAGGATACTTTGGCTTCCACTAGGCCAAAGCGAGTATACAAGCAGGTACAAAAGCTGGGGGCTGATCAACCCCTGAAGCACTATGGGCAGGTTAATTTGGTTGAATACGCACTCTCGGTGGAGGAAGATGAGTCGGTCTCCTTCAAGGAAGCTATTCGGGACAAAGATAATGAGAGTTGGTTGGTTGCGATGGAGGAGGAGATGGAATCTCTTCGGAAGAACCAAACATGGGAGGTGGTCCCATTGCCCGTAGGAAGAAAAGCTATTGGTTGTAAGTGGGTGTATAAGAGAAAGGAAGATCCTTCAGAGGTCGGTAGCACAAGGTACAAGGCGAGACTAGTGGCTAAAGGGTTTGCACAAAGAGAGGGTGTGGATTACAATGAAATATTTTCTCCGGTGGTGAAACACACTTCTATTCGGGTGCTATTGAGTATTGTTGCTCATGATGATCTTGAGACACTTCTATTCGGGTGCTATTGAGTATTGTTGCTCATGATGATCTTGAGCTGGAACAACTCGATGTTAAAACGGCCTTCTTGCACGGAGACTTGGATGAAGAGATCTACATGCATCAACCTGAGGGTTACAAGGTTGAGGATAAGGAGCATCATGTATGTCGCTTGAGGAAGTCATTCTATGGACTGAAGCAATCTCCTCGGCAGTGGTACAAGCGATTTGACTCCTTCATGCTGAAGCATGGATTTTCCCGAAGCGATTACGATTGCTGTGTTTACATTCGGAAGCTTCGTGGAGGTGATTATATCTATCTTCTTTTGTATGTGGATGACATGCTTATTGCTTCAAAGAGCAGGGTGGAGATAGATATGCTGAAATCTTAACTTGGTAAAGAGTTCGAGATGAAGGACATGGGCGCTGCTAGAAAAATACTGGGTATGGAGATTAGAAGAGAGCGGGCGAATCGGCGATTGTTCTTGAGTCAGAAGGGCTATATAGAGCGGGTGATCGCGAGGTTTGGGATGCAAAGTGCTAAGTCGGTGGCGACTCCATTGGCTCCACACTTTAGGCTTTCAGGTAAACAATCTCCCACTACAGCGGAAGATAAGGCACACATGGAGCGTGTTCCTTATGCTAGTGCAGTTGGCAGTTTAATGTACGTCATGGTGTGTACACGTTCAGATATTTCACAAGCGGTTAGTGTGGTCAGCAGGTTCATGGCGAATCCGGGAAAGGCGCATTGGGAAGCTGTGAAGTGGGTCCTGAGGTACTTGAAAGGTATCGCGGATACGGGTCTGTGTTTTGGTGGAGATACATGTCAGATTGACGGGTTTGTTGATTCTGATTATGCGGGCGATCTAGATAGACGGCGATCTACTACTGGTTATGTATTCAGAATACATGAAGCTCCAGTTAGTTGGTGATCGATGTTGCAGGCTACAGTGGCACTTTCTACTACAGAAGCCGAGTACATGGCCATGGCGGAGGGAGTGAAGGAAGCATTATGGTTGTGGGGTCTTCTAGAAGACTTGGGGATTGAGCAGGAGAACGTGAACTTGTGGTGCGACAGTCAAAGTGCGATTCACTTGGCGAAGAATCAAGTTCATCATGCTCGTACAGTCGTACCAAGCATATCGATGTCAGGTATCATTTCGTGCGGGACGTCATAGAGAAAGGTGATATTTCTCTCATGAAGGTGCATACGAATGAGAATCCAGCAGACATGTTGACCAAGGTGGTCACAGGTAGCAAGTTTAAGCATTGCTTGGACTTGTTTCATATCAGTCCTTGTTGATTTGCCCAAGAGTGCATGGCCCTTCGGGGCGGTGATGGGGTGAGGTGGAGACTATATGGAGAACAAATTCTGAACTACGGTTAGCTTGATCCCGGTGGAGGGTACGTAGGCAGTCACGGTAAAGTGACGCAGCTGGTTTGGCCTGGTTTGACCGATGGAGATCTCTCTGGTGATGTTCGCGGTGTTCTTCTGGTGTTCGTCCAAAATTTGAGGTTTATCAAATGATGTACGAGGTGGAGAATTGTAAACGTGCGTGTGCCAGCTGGCATCTCAAATCACGTGTGTGCGTGAAACCAAACCCAAGCAGCGGCCAGCGGGTATTCTTAACCGGCCCAACATCGCTTCCTATAAATACACATGTTTACCTAGGGTTTTGTGATGTGGGTGAAAAATTACAGTGGGAACAGCGGCAGGGAATAAAAGGCTACGGGAAAAGGACTGCGGAAAAGTAGAGAGGTTGAAAAGTTTTTTTTCTTTCCGACTGTAAGGTGAAACAGAGGGTAGGCTGGTTTCTTGAGGAGTTTTCAAGAGTCTAGAAAAGAGAGATCTTTGAGGAGAGAAAAAGAGAGATTCTACAAAAGAGAGGTCAATTTAGAGAGATTCTACAAAAGAGAGGTCAATTTCTTTTGAGTAAAAATTAGATCTTTTTTTTTCTTTGAGACGAGCTTGTGGATTGTACAAGTCGTCGGTGTTCTCCTTATAGTGGAATCTCCCCTCACCCCTCCCGTGGACGTAGGCAAGTTTGTCGAACCACGTAAATCTTCACCCCTCCCGTGGACGTAGGCAAGTTTGTCGAACCACGTAAATCTCGTGTATTTACTGTTTTCTGGGTGTTGGCTATAGCTTGTAGGTTCCCTCAATATTCGGTTTTAGAGCTGATGAGAGGAAGAGTGTATATTTTACTTTGATGAAATATATCACTTTCGGTTCTTGTTTCCTTTGAGAAATAAGAATTTCACTATCTATTCTCGAAATATATCACTTTCGGTTCTTGTTTCCTTTGAGAAATAAGAATTTCACTATCTATTCTCGTTTCCTTTGAGAAACAAGAATATAGAGGTTGACTTGTGCTTTTGTGACAACAAAAACCAGGGTTTTCTCTCAGGTGATATCGCTTCCGCGGCGGTGGGCGTGACTCTGCGCCCAACACAGTGTATTCATTCTCCACTCGTGTATAGACATCTTTCGTGTCTGTGAAGCCCCTGCTGCAACACTATTAACTTGCATGAGGAGACAGTAAACTACAATTCACGCAACTGTACACAAGAAAAAATGTCCAGAGATGTCATTTTTGGAACTTATAAAGTATAGTGATAGTTGTTGATAAAAATAATTGAGATGTGTGGAATTATTAAAATAGTTCTAAACAATAACCTAGAACTTGTGGAGTGCTGAACAACTGAGAGAAATGATGAGCATCTAACAGGCACAGTGAAAGTAGGATGTATACTTAGCTCAAAACACAAGTGCTCACAAGCCTATGCGTATGCACATATAATGGTGAGGGAACTTGTGGAGGCGATCATATGGGAGGTGATTAAGCTTGTTATTACAGTTGTCTACAATAGCATATAAAGTTTAAAAAGAAAGCAAATGTTGAGGTAATATCTGATTTGACAATAGCATGTACGAAGCGCTGATGTCTCAAACATCTTGAAGATGGGAGTTCCGTAATGATCTCCTTGCTTATCATGTTTCCATACCACTTGGTAGAACTCGAGCAGCAATAATTGATGATGAAGGAGAGCTTAGTCTATGACTAATTTTCTATTTCTTTTATTATTACAAATACAGTTACCTACAGAAAGGGCTCATTTACAATAGAGGCGCAATTTCATCCCTCGGATGAAATCTGATGGGTAAGAGGGTCATCAATTGGATCAAAAACCTAGCCCTTAAAGGAATAAAACTCCTAATTAATTAGGCAGCAGTCGTCTACTACAAAATACGTTCGCCGAGCCCTGCCTGGTGCACCAGTCTGAATCATGCTCGGATTGGCTTTTCGAACCGAAAGTGTCTCAAGTACCCCAGATCTAGTTGGTCAGTATGTTTAGTTGTACCGTCTTCTAATCACCATGCGCAATTGTGCATATATGTGCGCGCGTGCATAGAAGAAACAAGCTCAGCGAGTGCACAATGCTCAGTGAGCCTTCAATAAGCAAAGGTCCTCGTGACGCAGACACTCCAATGTATTTTCTAGAACTAGAAGCGTTCATAATCTCCACCCTAACTATCGAATCATAGGTGATCCTAGGATAGGAATCAAAGCATGATTGCACGATAAAGTGATCTTTTAACTAAAAGATAGGACATCACATTGCAAGCATAATAATGACTCTATCTTGAAGGTGAATTAGGCTTGAAGTTTCATCGAAGCTTACCTCCCAAAGCACACATCAATCTGAAAGCAGATTAGGGAGCAGAGAAATCGCCTCTCCTATCTTCTGTTACAAATCAAGGACCAAAAGGAATAATTAAAATGAGTACAAATCTAGCAAAAATCAGACTCGTAGACATCTACTGGAAAATTTAAAACGAAAATAAGACCTCTTGGTTTTCAGAATTGAGCAGGCTATCTACAGTAAGGGACATCAAATCCTGCTGCGGTACTTGAGTCCAATTAAGATCAAGCCTTGCATCACCACGCAGAAGAAGAACATTGCCTGAAAACAAATTTGAGGATCCATCAATTAAAAGAAGGAGACAATGAACGAGATTTTAAGAGAAATCCGCAAATTTCAAGAACGCGTCAAGGAACAAGAAGCATGACGATCGACCAAGAAAAGGAACGAATTCAAGAGGAAAAGGAGATATAAAAACAAATCCAAGAACGAAGTAAATAAATAAAGCGATTCAAGAGACGAAGCCATCGTCGATCGAGAGAATCGATAAGAAAAAAAAGGCCGATCAAGATTACTTCAAAGGGACAGGATCGCAATCAAGAAACACAGAAAGAGGAAGGAATCGAGGGATCAGATATCAAGAACTCACAGATCGAGACGAGAAGAGAAGTTGAGGTTTCGTTCTCGAGGACGATAAGAATGGAGCGACTGAAGAAATTGATAAACTTCGTCTTGTAGATGACGCCATTATCGATCTCCGCCATTGTTTCTTCGCTTCTCTCCTCGATTCGCGTTTAAGAACGCTAACGATTGATTATTTCTCCCTGATCCCTGAACCATTGAGAGGGGGGGAGAGAGAGAGAGAGAGAGAGGGAGGAAGAT